GACCACAGGGCTCTTGTGTGTAGCAACAACAAATAATTTATACACAGCAGATGTCAACTGTCATCTCTGTCAATTGCACTGGTCTTCCTCTCCCTCCTTAGCCTGGGTGAGCTGTCAGGTTTCTAGTTTCTGATGTGTATTTACATCATTCAATGATACCTGACAGTAGTGAAAGGCCACAGAAAACTGCTTATTGATCAGAGCAAAACTAGTTGATGGAACAGATGATGTTGTATTACTGAATTGCAGCAACACTCAGGTGATGACATTTGGTTCCCCATATACAAGTGTTTAATGGCATACAACTTCATTATATCATGCCACTAGTACTTAAAACATTGCCCAGATTTCCTGACTGCTTTGTCTATGTAGGTTTGAGGACAATCTCTTTATGCTGGTATCAATGTGCTACTAACTACATTTGCTCATAAACCCTTGCAAACTGCTGGCTAACTTGCCAAGACAAATATATCAGACAGATACTGACACTGCAATCTTGCCAAAGCCTTATTGAGCTGACCTTTTCCTCCCCCCCTTTTTTTTAAAAAAACCAAACTCTTGCAACTTACAATTTAGCGAGGCACAACCTCTCAGGATGATACTTTTTAAAACTTTTCCACTGCTTAGTAGATAAGTTGGGAGTACAATTTTATTGCCAGGCAATAGCATCACCTAGGCTATCCTCTCATCCTCCTGTTTTCCAGTCCTCTCACCTTGCATGGAAGAGTAAGAACAAGGCTAAAAAAGGAGACAGACAGCCACTGGGGGATGGGGGAGAACAGGCCTGCATCTCAATTCTTAATAATATATACATTTCTGAATTTTGGAGGCTCTTCAGGATGTGCAACAAATTCGGAGCTGAGTCCCTCCTCAACCTTAGCAGCACCACTGCTATCAGGAGAAAACAACAAGGTATAATAAACCTTCAGGATTCAGTAGGAGAGAGAAGGCAAGATGGAAGGGACCTCGTTCTAAGAAACGGTGGAGATTATAGCAAAGTTAGGGTTGAGGTAACAAAACTAGTTCTCTGGTTCCCCAGTATAAAAAAGCCTCCTGTTATCAAAGCCTTCTCCAATTTGCTGTCTTCTAGAAAGGTTGGGATATCTCCCAGAATCCCAAACCACATGGTCAGTGACCATGATGCCTGGAAATTATAGGATCTGTACTTCCAAAGGTCTAGGGGCAGGCTATGACTGACACTACTATGAGATGCACCACTGCTGAATTTTGTTTAAAATGTTGTGAAAGATGATTGGTGAACCTCTAAGAGGAAGAGAGAATTAATGCAAACACCTTTTCTTTTCTTTTTACTCATTGTTATTTACTAGCAAGATTTCCAACAGTATGAAAGGCAACAAGCTTATATATTGCACATTAATTTATGAAGATAAACTCTATTGTAGGTGTATGTACATGCATGCAAACATGCAAAATAAAATCAGCTACTTGATCAGCACAATAGAAGCTGGATCTGCATCCTAGTGAGCTCTGAAAAACTGAAGGCATGTAATGGGATGGATCTAATGATATTATTTATCCCATGTTAAATACTCCTTTGATTTTTTTCCCCATAAATGAAAGCTGTTCCCATTTATGGAACCAACCTTTGGATCCAACCTATATAAATTCCTTAATTTTTAATATTCACAAACAATTTTCCTTCTTTTTTGTTGGGGTGAGAGGGTTTGGTGAATATGAAATGAAAATATCTGATCCAGAAATCAGCTTTGCTTCCTAGTTTGAAGACCAGCTCAGATTTCAGACTTCTAAAACTAAACAGCTATAAACAGGTGGTAAAAATAAGATGACCATACTCTAGGTTGTCATACTTTAGGCCAGCCCAATTGAAAAAGAAAACAGAATTATTTGCAATAGTTATTTAATTGTACCATCTAACATTTAAAGTAGAGTTATCAGAATTTGCTTCTCAGTTCACTATTTGTTTTCTATTTTTGCTATTATCTTTTGTGGTGTTATTTTAACTCTCAAATAATCTTGAGCTTTCATTTTTTGTTTGTTTTTGCAAAACGACAAAATGTAAAGAAACAAAGTATTGTTATCTCCAAAGCAATTTCCACTTTCAGAACTGCCTTACGAAGAGATTGTAACTGCCAATAATGATCAGATTTACAACAGAAAAAGACAACATGATTAAATATTTAGACTACATTAAAATGAATAAGCTAATAAGACAAAGATATACTCAATACAACTGTGTTTTGTCTCCCTGTATTATTAGTTGGAATTAGGCACAATTAGTAGTTCCAGTAATTTCCAAGAACTTACAACACAGAAATGTTTATTACCTACATCCCTTAATAGCCTTTCCACAGATAGTAAGCAGCACTCTGTATTTTGATTTTTTTTTAACAAATTACATACATGCAGTGCAGTTGTTTGTGTAAAGAGGACTGAATTTGCAGTGGTTAGTGCTCAATTTTTAGCCAATTCTTTATGAGCAGAAAGCAATATTGTTTTGTATTGGACCAGGTCTTAACAATATTTTATGTTGGGCAGATTTTGGTGTATGAACCAGGTAAGCCATTCTTCCTTTTGTAGAGATTCCATCTGGAAAGGTATATGATATTCTGCTCTCTCCATGGGGTTTGTATATTTTAAAATTTATTTTAAAAAATTTTTTTGATAATGTTTGCATTTTAATAATCACTTATCTTTTATAATTATTGTTTTTATCCATTTGATATTTTATCCAATTGTTGTACACCACCCAGAGTTGCTTTGCATGAGATGGGCGGCTATATAAATGTGGTAGGTAGGTAGGTAGGTAGGCAGATCAATAAAGTGGAGTTGGATGCTGCAGATGTAAAGTGGGAATTAGCAGAAAACTGTGCCCTGATTTCCTCTTCCAATCCTTCATGTCTTGTCATATCTTGCCATTTTTAGATTGTAAAGGAAAAGTCTCCCATTGACAGCTTGCAGTTTCTGGGATCCATCTAATTTGTAATTTATTTTTGTCCAAATAAGCATCAGTGAAAGATGATCCAAATGACCATCTTGTATTTAAGACTAATCCTGATTAATTATAAATCAGCAATAAAAGATATAAATATTTATTGCTTTGGCTGGAGAAAAATACAGTATACTTCAAGACTTTACAAGGTAGTATCTCCAGTTTCAGAAGAGCAGAAACTGACTCTTTTTGACAGGAATATGTGAACTGGGCAAATAACTGAGACACTGCTCTAAGCACGCCTGTAGCACTACCATTACATCTTTGGGGAAAAAATCAGTAACTGGAACTGAGTTTTTCTGAGATCCAAATGAGTGAAAATGTGTTTGCTATTGCACATCTATGCAAAAATGGCCTATTATTAGTTACTTAATAGAAAAGTTAGTTTTGTGGAGTTTCAGATTTGGAAGAGGCCATTAGATTCCCACAACAGTATGTGGGAGAAAAATGCCTCTCTAAGCTGGCATGGTTAGACTACAACATCCACCATCTTTTGCCACCATAGCAAAAATGAATAGGGCATGATATGGAGTTTTGGGGAACCATGGCACAAATATATCATGGGAACATTTTTTCCCCGTTCCCTGTAACCTGGCTTTCATCTTATCCCCAGCCAATGAGCAGGGTTCCTCACAGCAGCACTGAAGTAGTCTTATCCAGTGTGGGAGTCTATACAAAGGTATCTTGGCTCCAGAAAGTGCTGCCTGTACTTTAGACCCCTATTCTGCCTGAGAAACACAGCAGAAGAGCCTAGGGAAGGTGAGAGGTGGAGAATGCCTCCTCTGGGATGCCTTTCTCTCCCCCATACTCTTCTTTCCTTGTCATGAGTGGCGGGTGAAGTGGGGAAGAAACCAGGGCAAAATGGGTCTTTTCACCCTTTTCTGCTGCAGAGCTGCTTCATCTGGCTCCCCTTCCCACTGCAAAGGGTCTCTGCAGGCTGTACATTACCATTCCCACCTCCCAAGGAGTGCAGGTTGTAACTGCAGCAAAAGAATTGGCTCTATATGCTACAGTCCCCCACCAGAAGAGTACAAGCTAAAGAGCTACTTAACTCCCCTCCCACAAGGTTTGGCATTACGGCACTGAAGCTAGGGTGGGACATTTTAAACACATACCAAGCAGTCTATCATGGTATCAAGACTTCTGTAATATTTAAAATGTGAAGATCTAAGCTGTGGGGGAGTAGGGGGCAATGGTGGTGTGGGGAAAAATACTTCTTCAGCAGCACTCCTGCAACAAAGCTGGAAAAACCAGCATCAAAAGGATGTGCTTCCCTTCCTCCTCTTCTCCTGCTGGAAAGGACATAACCTCTCTCATCTAGGAGACCTATGGGCATGGGTTAGAATCAGTTTTGTCCCACCTCAGAATGAAATGGGTTTACAAATACTAAGATAATGGGTAAAATTGCTGAGAATTATTTCTTGCTGAGCAGGTTCTAAAGTTTCCTCCAAGATTCCAACTGATGGGAAAGGGGATGAATATATACCTAATGCTTTGAAAACTAGTTATTTTAGTTTTAGAGCAAATAAAGTTGGTATGTTTCTTATTTTAAAAAATCTTGCACATTTATGTTTTTAAGGCCTTTGCCTAAATGGAAATAAAATCACCATTCTAAGTATAATGGAAAAATACCTCTTAGTGAATTATTAAAGTGGAATTGAAGTCTGCTCCTACCTGCCTATACCAAGTAATTAATTCACTAATTAAATGATAGGCATACCAACTACAGTTATTTGATTTTGCCCTTCTACTACATTTGGGCTTTAATTTTCTCTATATTATTTTTTCAAAAAATATTGCCTCCAGGTTTGTGCATATATCCGTTCAATAAACAATAAAAAATTTAACTCTTCTAAAAATGCAAAACTGTTCTAGAGATCAGTCATGTTTTTGATAGTATTGTTGGGTGGATTTATCCATCACTGCTGTGAACTGGGATTGATCTTTTGAATTTATTTATTTATTTATTTATTTATTTATTTATTTATTTATTTTTAAAGAACTCAATTCCAGGAAGGAAAGAACATACCTGAACTGTACAGATAGGAAACATAGAGGGCAATCTGATCTCAACATTGTGATTTTCATCCTTCACCTGAAATAAAACATTTTTGCAGCATTGTTTAATAATATTTATCTGCTTAACCTTAGTCAAAGAAATATTTTATAATCATTCCAGAGGCACTCATAGTTGAATTCAGAATGCATCTGCAATTATATTCAGGAACTGTTTCAACTGTTTCCACTCTGTGGTTGTATCCAGAAAAAGATTTGCATACTGGCATATCTTCTCTGACACCCTTAAGGTGCTTCAAACTAATGCCTGAAGTATGAGTACTAGAAATAAGCTCATCAGTAAGGCTTGATGATATAGATTAGGGAGAATGAGTCTTCACATAAACAAAAACGTCTTCAAGTGTGGGTTTCACCCAAAGGGAGATAAGATCCACCTCCAATTTCACCAGAGAGTTAATTTTAGCAAAAGGGTGGGGGCCAAGTGCAGCTGCCATTATTTGAATGAGAATGTAACAAGCCCTTCATTGAGCAATACAGTAAAAGGTTTAATAGATGAGGCCTTCTACTCTTGCTGCCATGAGATGTAGTGAAATCTAACTTGGCTGGCTTTAAAAAGAGACTAAATCATTTAAAAGAAGGTAAGGCTATCAGGGCTACTTCTCCCCTTTGCACAGGAAGATACATAAAGATGCTTTTGGCTCAAGCTCAACTCCTAATGTGATCTTCAGATTTCTTGGCAGCGTAACAAAAGCAGCTTTCCTTCTTCCAAGATGTTTGTAACTTCCCAGTTTAGTCAAGAGCCTTGGCATTCCTGGTTGGTCTCCCATCCAAGTACTAACCAGTACCAGTTCTGCTTAACTATTAAGCGTGGCCAAGATCAGCTAGGTGCTGCCCTCTGCTGAGGAATGATTATATCCCACCTTTTATTAGTGAACTCAGTGTGCAGACAGGGGACCTTCCCTAATTTTATCCCTAGAAAAACGACGAGTGGTTTGGGCTGAGAGAATGATTAAGTCAGCACTGTCTAATTATCTCAGTGGTTAAGGAAAGACTTGAATCTGGATCTCTGCCGATTCAACCACAAATAACTGGCTTTTATGAGACATAGGACAGCAGACTAGATAGGTTCCAATCTGATTAGCATACCCTTTTTGGTTCTGATATTTCATGAGAAAATATTATCACACATATCAATAAGAAGAGACCTATAAGTGAATCCATTTTATGCATTATTTGCTGTAATATAACTGCATGTAATACAGCATGAATCAAAATATGAAGATTTTGGACCTTTTTTCATTTTGTAGCATGCTGTCAAGGAGATTAATGCAACCATGTCAAGAAAAGGGAAGATTTAAATTTTTCAACAGACTATAACAAAAGAAACTGGAAGGCCTGGGGTGGGGGGATCTGTGATTCAGCTGAAGTACTAAATATCCAGGCAGAGTGTTAATAAGATACTGAATGATATACTATAAGATATTTATTAACTAATGTCAAAATCATTTGCAAAATGAGAATATTTGTTGAACATACTAGAGTTACAATTATGTTCCTGTCAAAAATCTACCACTTGCCATTTGAAGAGAATTAGGAAGCTAAGCATGACAGAAAACAACTATCACATTCAAAGTGAGAATTACTAATACCAAAACAAACATATCCACAGCTAAAAGTTGCCTTCAGTAGTTTTGATTAAACCTGCCTTTGATTTGTACAATTTATAATCTGTTGTAACATTTTCTCCTTGTCCCATTATTTTGGAGTGCTGCATCCTCATACCAGTATCTTTGCATGCACCTCATAGCTAAAATCATCAGTGTTAACCTATATTTTTTTAAATGTTCCTTTTTTTGTAAGGAAGTTATTATGGATGAATCAGACAGTTGCATCAGATGTCAACGAGGTCATATGGAAAATAAAACTAAAATACATTGACTATATTTTTATTCCATTCATTTCAAAACAACATGGATATCTTTACATTATTTATTTAAAAATAATTTGGGATAACAAGTTGTAAGTGGTTTTCTTCTCAAAAATCTTTCCTGAACATGCTAGTCTTTAAAGTTAATTTTAAAATGACATCTCATATTAAATGCAAACAGTGACCCCTACTGTTACACAAGTTGGATATCCAAGTTAAAGCAGTGACAACCCAACCTGGTAATTGATTCACTGTAGTGCAAAACTAATTAACCAGGTCAGTCTTGAAGCATGTTTGTTAAGGGTTTTTGGGGGGAGGGGAATTGATAAATAGAAATGTGAGCATTTGCAGTTTATAATGAAGTTGACAGTAATTACCCAGCTGTTTCATTCTTAATTGCACAATTTTGAATCAGGATTCAAAATAATTGTTGGGGCATAAATTACACAAAATTATAGAGTTAATTTTTTATTGCATTGCAAGATCACCAATCAAATAACTGTAACAAAATATAAAACAGCTAATAAATCATCCTTTAAAAATACTGTTCCTTAGGAAATTAACATGAAAAAAGACATAGGTTCTTGAGGAATTCCAAATAAACACATTACAGTTAAATGAAATGTTTTTCTTAAATGTTTTTGTTATGTTTATTATTATTTTTGTTGGTATTTATTGTTATCTGCCATGAATCATAATTCAGGCTTGATATAAAATTCAATCAAAAATTATATATAAAGGAAAAAAACACAGCTTTCCCCCCAAATACATGTAGTTAGGAATATACTGTCTACCTAATACCGACTGGGATATATTGTAATATGGATATGTAATTAATCCACTCCAGAATGCACAGATTGTACAACAGCTTCCAGAGAGTTAATTTTGCCAATTGCTTACAAAAAGAAGAGAGACTTGGGGAACTATAGAGAGGGAGAAAGAAAGAGAGACTTACACATTTATAATAGGAGTGATCTTTCTGGATAACAGTCTGCTTCAACAAATACGTGACATGCTGTCCTACATTGGCACATGTGGCTTTGGGTGATTTGTGGGAGGGAACAATTTTAAACAATAAATTTGCTAGAAATAGAAGGATTTAGAGGGCAGTGAGTGTGACCATACGGGAACAAATAGGACTTTTTAAATAGATATTCTTATGGATCATACAGGTTACTAGCTTCATTAAAATTGTACTGTTCTGCAATAATGTTTCTAATATTTTTGGAGATGTAGCATATTACCAGTGGAATGAATATGTGAGCATAAAATTGCATTTATACTGATTATGTTGCTTTAATCATTTTTTAAAAATCAACACTCATACCAACTATCACTGAATTCTTATACAGATAGTCCTCACTTAACAACCACAACTGAGACTGACAAATCTGTTGCTAAGCAACATTGTCATTAAGCGAAACATCACATGACCACAATGGGCTTACAACCTCATTTCTGCCACAGTCATTAAGCAAATCATCTGCAGTTGTTAAGTGAGACATCAAGTGACTGCGACTTGTGATTTTACTGCTGGCTTCTCCATTGACTCTGCTTGTCAAAAGCTGGCTATGAAGCATGCCAATTGCAATCACATGACCATGGGATGCTGCGACAGTGATAAACACCCACCAGCTGCAAACTGCCCAAATCTCAATCATGCGACCATGGGGATGCTGCAATGATCGTAAGTGTGAAGACTGGTTGTAAAGTTCCCTGAGAAGAGTTTGAACCAATTAGTCTTAAGGAATTGGACAAGCTCCCTAGGGCTGTGGTTGTTTGAGACTTTCTTGAAGATGACATGTGGTTGGATCCAGGTGGTGGTAAATGCATCTTTGAGGTGTAGGGTGCTTAATTTGGGTATTAAAAAAGTGGGTGATCCAACTGCACTGGATAATTTTTACCTCGTCTCTCATCTCCCCTTTTTGCCCCTTTTTCAGTCAGGTTTCATACCAGCATACAGCACTGAGATGGCACTAATCACATTTGCAGATGTCCTTTGGTGGAACTGGGATGTGGGTCGTATATCCATCCCAGCTCTCTCAAAAACTGTCAATATGATCCACTCATAGTATCACTGAGCCCTTTGGGTGGGCCAAGTCAGGAAAGAGACACCACAAGGACTACTAGAACTCTACTGTTATAGAATATAGTAACAGAATCTTGATAGCCCACCAGAGTTTCCCTCTGCCCCCTCTTATACTGTATAGAATTAAGGTGGGATTATTTTAAATCTCTTTCTCACACTCTCCTTTTCCAGGGCTGAGATATTGTTTACTGTCTCTTTTATCTGCTAATGGTTCTTGTATATCTCCACCAGCTTCATCTGTTTTTATCTACAGTATCAATGCCTGGGGTGGGGGATGGCGTAAGGGGGCTGGAGGTGAGAAGGTACTATTTTGCTTGGTTTTTCTTCCTCTTCCAGGGCTGGTTCCAGTCAGTGTTGGGGAGGGGAAGAGAGTTCTAGCCCAAGAAACCTAATTTATAGCATCTCCCAGGGCCCTACTCTTCCCTGTTCTTATTTAACATCTACATTTAACAGTTGTGTGAGGACCTCTATTGGTACGGGTTCAGTTTTATCAATATGCTGACAATATTCAGTTACACATCTCTACCTTGGGGTGACAAAGTGATGCCATCAAGTGTATGGATGCTATGTGGGTCTGGATGGGGATGAACAGGTTTCAGCTTTACCCAAGTAAGACTGAGTAGTTTGGGGAACTTTCCATATTTAGGTCTGGAGGGACTGCACTGCCCCAAAGAGAACCGGTGCACTATTTGGGACTCTTGGACTCACAGTTTTTGCTGAAAGAGCAAGTGACAGCTGTGCCTAAGAGGGCCTTTGCACAAATCATCTTGTGTGCCACTGCAACTACTCTTGGATCAGGAGGCCTTGCTCAAAGTCACTCCTGCTTGTTTACCTTCTGTTTGGCTACAGGAATGTGCTTTACATGGAGCTGTCCTTGAAGATCAAATAGAAGTGCAACTGATTGGGAATGCAGTGGCAGGAGTATTTATGGGCACATCACAATACACCCATTTAACTACTTTGTGAACTGCATTGCCATACAATAGGATTCTGGGTGCAATTCAAGATTCCTCTTATTGCCTGTAAAGCCCTTTATAGCACAGGAACAGGTAATCCGTAGACC